GCTAGTTTAAATAATTTTCATGTGTTCTAAACTATAGGAGTAGTCCCTACTTGCCTGGTATGTGGCCCTGGAATGGTTAAGTTAGAGGAATGTTGCCTCTTAGGTGTACAGTCCAGATAGAGGAGGAATGGTACTAGGTTGGTCAGTTTGCCTGTCAAAGGAAGATCAAAGGAAATTCCTGGCTGAAACTTTTGCTAACTCTAAGAATTAGCCAGATCTGGAAAGGACAGAGTTTCTCCAGCCAAAATGCAAAGCTAATTCTTGATAAACCATCAAAGAGTATGCAGTCTAAGGGGAGACCGTCTGAAACCAGGGACCTGAATACTATTGCATTCCCTCAAACTCTGTATTTATCTATCACTGTTGATATATCTTGTTTCTCTGTCATCTTTTTTATCTCCCTTCTCTGATGACTGCATGAACCTAAAACATGTAATATCACTGTAAGTCTCTGATCTCATATCATCTTCTGTCATCTGAATGTTTGTCTCTCCTGATTTGTATTTCAAAATCCCACCAAACCAGGATGATGATAATAGGAGATGGGGGTTTTGGGAGATGATTTCCTCATGAGGGCAGAGCCTTTATAAATGGGATTAGAGGTCTTATAGAAGTTTGGGAGAGATCCATCATCCTTTCCTTATGCCTGTGAGGTTCGAGTGAGATGACTGTCCCTGAAGAAATAGGCCTCAATAGACAATGAATCTGTTGGTGTCTTGATCTTGAACTTCCCAGTCTCCAGATTGTAATAAATAAATGTCTGTTGTTGCTAAAGTTTAAATATGGTTGGTCCTGAACTCATGAAAGGGTTATATTAATGGTGTTAAAAGGGTAGGAAAAATGTATACGTAGAGAGATAAATAGTAGCCAGATTGTAAATACTCTATTTGTCTCCTGAGGCATTTGAACTTTCTCCAAACTGTACAGAGAACTAATGACCATTGAATGAAATGAGCAGAAATGACAGGATGGAAATATGGCTTTATTTCATTTATTGGCATTAATAATCTCTTTCTTGTCTAGAAGTGATGAGGACATCATTTCTAATCAACGAATTAGAAACAAATTCTTGTTAAAATGCTGGTTTTAAAGCATGTACACGGATTCTTTAACATTTCCCTATCTAGAGGTAGAGTCTATAGTCCCTTCCTTTGAATATGGGCCAAACTATGTCATTACCTCTTGGAATAAAATAAGGCAAAAGTGTCACTAAGGAATTACATTAGTCATCTTCCCATTACTATAACAAAATATCTGAAATAAAAACCTGTAAAGAGGAAAGGTTTATTTTGACTTATGGTTTTAGAGGTCCATGGCCAGAAGGTGAGCGACAACATCAGGATGCTCATATCATAGTGGCTAGAAAGCAAAGAGAGAGTGCAAGAGACTAAAGTCTTGCAGTTTGCTTCCAGGGCTTGTCTCCAGTGACTGAAGACCTTCCACTAAGCCTCACCTCTAAAAGTTTCACTACCTTAGTTACCAGTGCCACAGGCTGGTATCTAAGTCTTTAACACAGGGATTTGGGGGGATATTCAATATCCAAACCATAGTAGTAGCTAAAAAGATCAGGTTACACAGGGCCATGTGCTATTTCTTGGGAAATTTATTCACAAAGGTGGTAGCTGCCATGAAAGAAAAATGGCTAGTGTAGGGCCACTATGTGAAAGGCCCTATGGTAAGAACATATATAGAGAGAGGTGATCAAGCAGCTCCTTCTGTTTAATCTTCCTAGGCCAGTTACCAGAAGTGCTAGTGAAAAAGCCTTCAAAGAAACCCTATCCTGTTTTTATCTAACTAAAGAACCCAAGAGAATTGCATGACTGAGACCCATAACTCCAGATATGTGAGCAAAAGAGATACTGTTTTAAGACACTAATTTGAAGGGTTTATTATATAGCAATAGATAACCAGAACTATATGTCAAATCAAAAACAATGAAGACTAAACTAATGTAATGGCAGTTGGGAATATAGCAAAACGGCACAAATTATTAACAAAGGTCCACCCCTGTACAGTCCTACGGGCAAGAACCAGTCTCATCCTGATATTTGATACTTGTTTTGTACACAATAGCCTATTTAAAGATTCAATTTAAATAATGAAATTCTTTGTTTAAATTCCAAGTATAGCAAGTGAATTTAGCACATGATTGCAAGTAACTGAATCTTTATCTATTATATTTCTCTTTAGAGATCAAATCCACCAAAATTCTGGTTTTATTCATGTTTACACATGATAATATAAAATACTGGGAATAGTATAAAATTCCAAATAAAAGAAATCAGACTTATCTATGTGGCGAATTCTAGCTGTTTTCACATTCTAGTGCTTGAGGAAATAAAAAGCATTTAGGGGCAACTGAGGAGAAATGGTTATAAACTTTATATAACATTAAATAATTTGGGGAGATATTGATAATTTTTTAGGTGGAATAGTAATGTTATGATTATGTAGTAGCATGTTCACATTTGTAGGAGAAATATACTGAATTTTTGGGGTGAAGTTGAAGCCATATTTAAAGATAGGTAGTTAGTGTAGTTAGGTAAATCAGGTCTAATATGGAAATAAAATAAAAAATGAAGGCCAAATTGAGAATGGAGTCCAGGAAAAGGGGAATTGAAAATGTCCCCAAGGCCCAGAGCCCATCCCAAGGAAATGTTAATGAAGCAGCTCCCAGCAAATGTTGGATTAGCATTTGGAGATGCTAATCCAAAAGTCCTTCCTGCCCAGATTACTCCTTCAGCCCACCTGTCCCCCACCTTTTGGGCCTTCCCACCTATATTCCATTACTGCAAGATAACAGAACTAAGGACAGGAATGTGGGAAAGCTGAAAGAAGACATTAGCTATAAAAGGAGGAAGACATCGCCCTTTCATGGATTCCACTTCTTGGGTCCCCTTCTTCCATGGAGAAGTCTTTTCTACTGTTCTTTAATAAAGCTTTTGCTTCCCATTCTAAACTTGTCTCGTTGTGCTTCTCTGGTGTTATACTTCAGCATCAGGGAAGCAAGGACTCCTCACCTGGTAAACAGTGGTAACAAAGTGTCATAATATTTATAATTTACTATCATATGAAAAAAATCAAAATGACGCCAATGTGGGGAGGGCGGGATCACGGAGGCCAGCCTA